AGCCTCTACCTTCACATCGTGGGGATTGCCCAGTCAATTCCCCCACGGCCGTGCACTCGCGGCTCTGCGGCCCCGTCAGCACAAACCCCGTCTGGCAGGAGAAGGCGCACGTGGAGCCGAAGGTGAAGTTGCCATGGAGGTGGCTGCAGGCTGCGTGGCCCATGGCGGGGGCGGCCAGTGCTGGGCACTGGATGGCTGCAAGGGCAAAGAGGCACACGTGAAGTTGGAGCACGGGGACTGGGAGGATGAACTGTGGGGACCAGAGGACTACGGGGCCCAGGAGCACCCTAGTGTCACCGCAGGCCAGTGAGCCCCTGATCTCCAGCATCAGCCTCTACCTTCACATCGTGGGGATTGCCCAGTCCATTCCCCCACGGCCGTGCACTCGCGGCTCTGCGGCCCCGTCAGCACAAACCCCGTCTGGCAGGAGAAGGCGCACGTGGAGCCGAAGGTGAAGTTGCCATGGAGGTGGGAGCAGCTGAGCTCTCCCCAGTTTGGAGCGTTGAGCTCTGGGCACACAATGACTGCAATGGGAGATAAGGCCTCAGAGGCAGCAGATAGATGAGATTAAATCCAGAGACAGGGCCCAGAATTGCTCGTCGCTCACTCCTAATTAGATAAAACCGTATCTACAGTGACACTTCCTTGATCTGCAGATGCTAAATGGGAGGTCTCACTCAACTAGATTAATGCTTTATTCGGTTTCTTCCACCAGACCTATGGTTTCACCGGGAACAGCTGTTGCTCTGCCAGAGCCCCCTTTATCTCGTGCACCCTGCAGATCACAGCCCCCAGGGCTGCTGCAGGCCTGCTCACCCTCCTCCCCAGCCCCACAGGTTTCAGTGTTCTCCCAGACCTGCCTCCATCCCTGTAACGGTGGCAGGGGGAAGGACCGCCAACATGATTTCTCTGCCTGAGGGCAATAGCTGCCGCAGGGTGGCCAACTCAGGGCATGCAAGGGCTGCAGCCAGACATAGCACAAAGTGCCTGAAGACAGTGCAAATGGGGCAGCCTCCTTCCTGGCAGAGCCCTCCGTACCCACAGCACATTCAACCCCTCCACAGCAGGATCCTTTTCTTATTCTTGGATGAAAACCAAGCGGAAGTGTTAGAGCAGCTTTGTTATCAGCAGGGGCAACTTGACTGACCCACTTGATTTCTTGGAAAAAAAAAAAAATCATACTTAAGCCTGACAGGAAAAAAAACAAGCTAACTCTACTAAGGAAAACCAAAGGTTTGGGAAATTGAAAAGCCTGCAGTGGGGAGGGTCAGAGCTGCATGCTGGATAGCACGCATGGGGACTTCCACAGCGGCCAGAGGCCAGTCCTGACCCTGCTGCTGCTGGGACCCTGACTGTGGGACTGCCACATCACTGCTCTATGCCTCAGTTTCCCTCAACTGTAGAAAGCTTTCCGGTCTCAGCCATAGAAAGGTAGCCCTGGGGTGGACTACTTTGTGTCCCATGTCTGCTCCCAGCCTTGACTTGTCCTGTCCTGGCGCAAGGCCCAGGGCCTGCCATGCTGGGAAGACGGAGCAGGGCTTCTGCAGCCACCCAGCACAGCAGCAGGCTCCTGCTGCTGGAAAGCTCAGCACAGCTCCAGGTGCCAAGGTGCTGCTGCAGCCCCACAGGGGTGCTGACAGGAAGGCTCTCTCTACTCCCACTGCACAACACGCTGCCACTTTCTCTTTTTTGTGGCTTTCCCCTGTGGCACTTCCTGCCTCACTGTCCCTCCCAGCTTATCTAACCTCATCTGACCACAGCTTCTCCCATGCTATCTGCTGCCCAGTGTATCGCTGCCAGGATACACCCTTCCTCTGGCTGCCTGACAACATCTCCCCTTTTTGCTTCTCCAGATCCCCAAGATGCCAAACACCTTTGTGAGGCTGACCAGAGCAGACTAGGGGCGTGAGGCATAGGAGCAGGCAGCCAGTGCTTCCAGAGGTAGCAGAGGAGTGAAGGTGACAATGACTCTGCCCCTGAGCTCTCGGCAGGGCAGGTGCCGCTGCCAAGGCTGGACTCAGGACAGAGCAAGCAGAGACAAGAGACCCAGGGAGAGCAGTTTTCTTATCTGCAGGAAAGGGAAGGGAATGCTGGGTGTGTGGGGATGGGACATTTGAGTCACCTGGGCTGAAATCCCACCATAAGCAATGCCCTGCTTCCACCAGCTCTGGGGAAGCCTCTCTCCATGGTGAGGGGGTTTGTTTGCAGCTAGCAGGCAATGTGAGCTGCTGCAGGGTTTGCACAGTGGGAGCAGCAGTGTCCAGCAGTGCTGAACCTGGCCCTGGAAACAAGTGGTCCCTGGTGACCATTTCTGCTCAAGTTCCAAGGCTGCCCTAGCCAGGGGCAGCACAAATTCCTGTTTCTACTTCCCAAGGCTGGTGCTAGAAGACAGCCCCGTCCCTGGGAGGGGACACGCTCTGTGCCCAAGGCGTGTGTCTCAAAGCAGCTGCAGGTGATCCACGCTGAGGAAGAGCAGGAGCCAGAAACAGTTATCGCATGACCGATCCCCAAATTGGCAATCAGAGCATTGCGTTAATTGGCAAAAAATTAAATTAAGTAGAAATCTCCTGAGTCAAGACTGTTTTGTCTGTAACAAGAGGCTGGCAGGTGCCAAATGGGCCTCAATGACACTCAGCTCAGAGGATGGGAGTGCAAAGACAAATCGCTGCATGGGAGGCTGGGGTGCCAGCTGCACACACCGTCTGCACCAGAACAAGCACTGCAAGGGGGCAACTGTTTGGGCAGCATGCTAGCAACCCAGGTGGAGAGGTTACACACTTTGCTTTGCTGGTGCAAGGGGCTAACACAGGCTGCCACATGCAAACGCCCAACGGTGCCCTGGGCTGCGATACCTAGCCTCCCACAGCGCGCCCTCACCGTTCTCGCAGTCGCGGCCATAGAAGCCGGGCTGGCACTCGCAGCTGTAGTTCCCGATGGTCTCCACGCACTCGCCGCGCTGGCTGCAGGGGAAGGGCTGGCAGGAGGCTGTGGGCACACACAGCAGTGAGGAGCTGCCCAGACCCTGCTTAGCAGCACCCTGGCATCTCCACAGAGATCCCTAGCCCCATGCACCCAGGTCACCGTGCTGACATCACTGTGCCCCAAAATGGGGACAGAGGCGGCAGCAGCGGGGCTGAGCCCCAGAGGGATTCCGGCTCCCAAGCCAGCTGGCACAGCTGCCCCATCACCATGCCACTCCAGATGCCAGCAAGTCCCATGGCACTCTCTCTGGCCCTGGCCCACGTGCCTCCCCACCCCCAGGCCACCCGCCCCTCCGTGGCTCCCAAGCATCACCCTGGTAGCACAGCGCCCGTTTCATCTTGCTGCACGGCTCGTCATTCCACTTCCCTGGCTCCTGCTGCCTCTTGATGTAGATCTCCACACAGTCCTGGTTGGAGCGCTTGTTGTTGGGCTCCTTCTCAGCCCAGTTCTCCGCCTCCTTCGTCAGTGCCTTCCTGGTGCCCACCCAGGTCCAGGTGCCATTCAGCTTGCGAATGCCGATCCAGTAGTACCGCCGGTGGAAGGGCAGCCACTGGTTGAGGTGCTCGATTTCCCTCTTATTCTGGATGGCCACAAGGTCCGTGAAGTAGGTCTGGCAGTAGTTCCTCGCCTGCTCCCATGTGTAGTCCTTCTGTTCGGTGTAACTGTACCTCCAGGCTCCCACCTCCAGCTGCACAACAAGGCCTGTAGGAGAGGACAGCAGTGCCACCACATCGCTGACATAGCGAAGCGGGCCAGCAAAAGCACAGCCAGCACAAGGGACGAAGGCCCAGGCCCTGCAGCTCCACTACCCCACCAAAACCCGCCTGGCATTCACTAACTCCACGAGCACCTCACCCCACCCCTGCAAAGCACGCAGAGGCTGCCTGCCACTGTTGCTTGGGAAGACTCACAAAGGTTTCCCCAAGAGGAAAAATAGTATCAAGATGTTTCCTTAAAAAGCTTTTCCTTCCACAGGTACAGAACTGTACCAGTTCAGTTTTTTGCTTTACACTTTTACATGAGTCAGCCTGGAGCAAGAAAAAGCGATGAGCATCCCTCCCCAACGAAAGCCTTTGGCTGCTAAGGTGCTCTCAAGCAGCTGCTAACCTAAGCTAGCGATGGTCTGAAGAGTCTTGTAAAACTCAACATTGCAAAACAAGAGTCTTGCAACAGTGAAGTTCACATACTGGTCATGCCCATCAGGCAGGGCAAAGCCAAAGATGAACTGGAACCCACACCCAGAAACAGAGGGGATTTAGCTGAAATGCTTCTTCTATTTACAAGATTTCTCACCACAACTTGATGCAATCACAAGTTTTCAGCAACAACAAAAAAAAAGCTTCCTCCCTCCTCCCTGTAATCAGGTACCTCCATAACTGCAGAAAACTATCTGAAACAAAGATGGAGATCACAGTTAACTCCAAGCAATCAGCCTGGGGTACACCTCTCTCTGAAGGGAGCATATCACATCATTTTATTGCAAAGGCAAGGGTCTGGGCAGAATAAATTAAATGCAAATTCAGGGCTTCTCAGTTCCAGCTGGGCTCATAAGGAAACAATAATGCAACAAAGATTTCCATAATCTGATTATTTTTCCTTATGGAAGATCAAACTATCCATTTTGTTAAACAAAACTGAAGCTGAGGAAAACCTGACCTTCAACAATAGCCCTCCTCTTCACTCCTTGTGAGTTCAGGGGGCCTCCTGGGAATCTGCATGGTCCTCAGCTCCCACCATACAGCACCTGAAGCTTCACCACCTCTGTAGCACAGTACAAAGTAACAGCTCCTGATGTCCTCACACTTCCCATTCCCAAACCAAAAAGGACTAGGAAACTCATCAGCTAATTGACAGTCACCCACACTCCCTCCTGCTGCTTTCTTCTAGCTCACATACTACTATTATACCTTTCCTTCTCAGAAGCACTGCTCAGCTCACACCTTCCACACTTTCTATTCCTCTCTGCTCCCTCTCCCCAGTCTTGTATTAACTCTCCCTGCCACACCTGGAGCTGAAAACCCTACACCTGGGTGCCATTTGCCTGGACACCTCTACTCTCCCAAGCAGCTTCACGGTGCCTACTCCCCACACAGCACTTGAGAGCATCTGTGGCCCTGGAGGGTGGTTTTGCATGCTTGTTTTTCCCTCGGACGTAAATATCAGTCTCGTCCTGATATTTCTGCGTTTGCCTCTGTTCCTTAGATGTATTACAAAAGGTCACTTGAAAAATGACCCAGATTGCTCCAGATCTAAGCCCAATATCTCTAGGGACGGAGCAGGTAGCAGCGGGTCTTGCTCTGTGCAGTGCTGATGTGCGAGAGAAAGCCTGTCCTACAGGCAGCCAACCCAGCTTTCTCAAAAGTAACATTAATTTCCTCTTTCCATTTCTCTTGCTGTCCCCGAGACGCACTGCTTCTCCTGATGGGAATCAGCAGCTTTAATTCAATCCAACCCATATGCCCGTGGGTCGTGTTGGCTATGTTCATGCCCGCCTCTGCAGCACCAGCGCCCGCAGAAGAGCTGCTGTTGCCTTTCTCTAATTCAATGAAACTAGTGACTCTAAGAGGAAATATGAGGTTGGAGAGGCGGAGAGAGCGTGGGCTTCCCTCGCTGCCCAGGCAGAAGCATGAAACAGCGTGCCGGCTGCCACGCTGCTGGCCTGAGCGAGCGCCGGTGTGTGGGAGCCCACGCGCAGCCTTGCCAGGGCGGCAGAGCGCTCCCCCAAAGAGCACAGCCCGCCGGCGGGGCCCGCACACGAGGGT